TTTAGGTAAAAAAAAAATAGTCTTTTTACCTAACAGTGATCTTAATCAACGGGCATATTTCGTGATTTGATAGTTCTCTTTTAGAGTTATGATCACAGTTGACATACTTAATCCCTAACGGTGAATTGAAAACGTCCACTCACAATTAACCTTCCCGAATTTGTACCATATGGATAAAAAAAATGGTTGTCCCGTTGTCTGCCTATTCGGTTGAATTGGCATCATATAATTACGTCTTCCCATGTATAAAAACAATGGTTACTTCTATAACCAAGTAAGTCGGTGAAATAAATGGAGTCCTTGTCTGCACATGAAACTTCCAAATCAATGGTGCTGAGTGGAACATATTAGGATGAATACTCGCGAGTGAAAAGAACTATTTGAGCGAATCCATAAAACAATCATTAGGACCAGAAAACATTTCCATGATTTATAATGGCTTCTCGAAATAAAATGTTTTTCATATTTATTTGCTTTTGTGCTTGCCAAATTCAAAACTCCGAAACTACCTTTCACCAGTAGAAGTATTTTAAGGTTTCGATTTGTTTGGCTTTGGGACAGACCAAATCTAGTCGTTCTCTGGTGTACGACAAAGGGGAGGTGTTTAATGTACCCATATTTTTTGTTCGTAGCTTATGTTACCCGGCATAATTCTGTCCAATATTGATGCATAATTAACAGAATGTGCAGAAGTAAAACAAATTAAGAAAACAGGACTGAGTGTCGATTTGATAAATAAGCCAACGGACACGTTCCACATCTTGCTTACTTCTAAGTGATCCACTCGCGATTTTAGAAAGCGGCCGGTGTCCAGATCCTCACCCAGTGTTTGCGCATCCAATGCGGCTAACAGCTTATCTAATGAAGGGCACTCGATGGCCTGAACCGGTTCCGGTTTGCCAGCCTCGTTCGGCAGTCGGTTACCACCGTCACGTTTGTCATCTGCTTGTAGTCGTGCCTGGCCGGTTCGCAACTGGGCTTGCAATTCTCGTAGCCCAGCCTCCAAGCACACATTTGCCTCGGTCACTTGGGACAAACGAACTTTGAACTCGTCTTGTAGCTTGCGTTCCATTTGGATGGTTTCAGTGGCTTGACCAAGCTCATTATTAAGCACTTCAATCTAAATCCATGTTTTTTCGTGTTTGTACAAGCAAACATGTAATTTATGAGAGCGGATAAAGGACTGGTATCATGAGATGCTTTCCTCAGTCCCTGACGTAAAACACGTTGACCGATATTACATACAGAGGGAACCAATAAAAATGCAAGTGGAAAGTATAAAGCACACAACTTTATTAAAGGTTGCACAATGGTAGTACAGTTGAATGTCAAATAAAATTCACAATGGCACTTTTCACCTGGTTCCCATTAGCAGTTAGTCATGAGAAAATCAAAGTCCGTCCACTGATATCATTTATCTCTTACTTTGTGGTGGATACTCTTCCGTTGTCAAACTACCAGTTCCTTTGGGTCTCCCACCAAAAACAATCTGTCATTTAGAAACCCGGTTGTAAATCAAGTAACGACCACTCTATTGCCCTCTGTTCACTGCTCATTTTCGTTGGGTAATGATACCCCAGAAGTAGTCGAAAGCTTTGTCTACCTCGGGAAGAGTTGTGAGCGAGGAGATCTCTCAACGCGTGATCAAAGCTAGACTAGAGTTTGCTAACCTGCGGCATCTCTCTCGCCGGCGCAACATATCCCTTTCACTGAAAGGGCATGTGTATTGCGCAACGGTAAGCGCCATATGGATCTATGGCCGCGAAACCGCTCCCAGTAGATAATGTCCAATTACTATCCGTCTTCGACAACCACTGTCTGCGCAACATCACCGCGTATGGTGACAACATCACGTGAATAACGATGATGGCAGACAACATGTTTTAGGATCGGATAGATTTCCATTGAGAAAAACAATTTCACTGCATCGGTTTAGGTGGCTGGGGCACGTCTTATAAATCTCTGAGCAACGTCTGCGATACCGTGCACTATTTGCTAACACCGGTCCCAGCTGGAAGAAAACGTCAGGTGGGCAAGTAATGACGCGGCGTATAGGGTTAAAGAGATTATGCTCGGATCTGGCTTCCTTTGAGGCTTTCTGGCTCCTCGGCTGGGACCCCAAAGGTTCGAATTGTCTTTGATTGGTGACACTACGGCATCGAACCGAAGTCAGTGGCCTGAATCCATCCTTTCCTGTGCGCAATCCCAAAAATAAACAAAATATTTCAAAATGATGCAGTAAACACATCAAACAATTCCTTAGTCCAAAAGTTGACTGTTTTTTCCCTTATGTTTCCATATTTTGCTTTGAACCCATGGTTATTTTGGTGCCGTGTCTGCAAAAATTGGTTTTATATATCTATAATAAGCAGTATATGCATGAGTGAGCAAAATTTCCCTGGAAGCACACAACCAGTTTCGCGGTTCTTGCTGCACATCAGGCATGCTTATCCGGTTTGATTGATACTACTAGAAATAATTTTAATAATAATATTAAGAATAATAATAGTTTTCACACAGAGCAAGAAAGAAACCAATAGTGTCAGATGCCGTATTTTAAACTACCAGCAAGGGTCTACAGCTCGTCTAATTACACCAAAATGTCCAGTTTTTTTCGGTCACTTATTCCAAATGTACATGAATTTGCTTATAGAGGAAACAGCTTACTGTAATATAGAAGAGCGTTTCGCGGTTGACCCGGTCTCGTGGATGAACTGTGACAGCGGAAGCCCCAGTCACAGTTAGCGGTTACTAATGGAGCGCGATTCACCTAAAATTACAACTTTTTCGCTTGATTTCGAAAAGGCATTTTAGGATTTTCTACTTCATAAAATTATTATTTCCTACAAATCATTCGATAACTTCTACTACCTCATATCTAAAATTTTAACCGATATTTCTTCTTACGCAGTCTAGGAGGAGCTCCGGATCACCTTGTTACTCAAGTTTCATCATGCAGTAAAACGAATTGGTAATTTTTGTCTATTCAATTAATTTACTAACTGTCATTGAGGAAAATAAGTGAACGAATTCCAGTAGGTAATTCTAGTCAGCTCTGGTGTGAGTTGGTTGTCGTTGTGAAAACACACGTGTTTCATGCAGGTGTTCTGAAGTTCGAATACTAGATTGGTGGATTAATACATCCTACTGGTTAGCTATAATAAAAGCAGAACGTAAAAACCCTTTCTTCCCGAGTGTATGGTTTATCGTTTGAACTGAAAATGGTGCATCCCGATCAAGATAAGTGTAAGGATAATAATTCAAAATCAATAAAAGTTCATCTCACACTACTACCTGCAAGTGACCGTGAGTTGCCTGTGAACTAGCGGTTAACTGAAGACACAACAGGTAAAAATAGATTCGCAATAATTTCATAAAAAAATGATCGAATTTTGTTGGAAACAGTTTATGTAACACAGAAAATGAATAACGGATGTCAAACGAAATATCACTCATGATTTGACTGCGAAATTTTCCAATGACCAAGTGCCAACCAGTTACGAATATTCCGATAATCTTAAAAAATAGAACAAGGAGTGGCGAATAAGCTCGTTTTCAGTGATTCGTAGTCATGCCAAATACATTACAATAAATATTACGCTGGCTAAATTAATAGAGCCCGTAAGAATTGGATTAGCGAAACAGAGTACGAGACACATTCACTTTTGTGAACAGCATTCATGACTTAAACTTGATGGGTTGGACAATGCTTTCATTGGACGTTAGCTCGCTCTTCACCAATGTTCCAATCAGCGAAACCATCGAATACCTCTGTAGTTATGTACAAAGTAACAATGTTGAGATAGGCATTCCTTTGNTTATTTTTGCACATAAAACGTCCAATTCACGTTCAACGAGCAGATTTATCGACTAAAGGATGGTGTGGCTATGGGATCACCTCTAGGACCGTTGTTTGCCGATGTGTTCATGGCGAAACTCGAAAATAACCCACTCAAATCTTCCATTCAGGATTGTGTGTTATATACACGATATGTGGATGATATTTTGTGCGTGATCAACACAACATCAGGAACAAATGAGCTCTTGGGCAAATTCAATGCTACTCACCGGAACATAATATTTACTTTAGAAATAGAAAACGACAACAAATTGGCATTTATGGAAGTCTGTTTGAGTCCTAGATCGGATCGCTCGGTGCAACGATCAGTGCATAGGAAGGGCCAATATATTCATTTTCGTAGCTTTGTACCGCTCAAAGTGAAGAGGACTTTGGTGCGCTGCCTAGCAGATAGAGCAAGGAAAATTTGTAATGAGGACACAATAGAAGAAGAGCTCCGGTTCTTACGTATTGTCTTTACACAAAATGGCTAACCAGAACGATTGGTTAGCAAGATGATTCTGTGCGGTGGAGATATTTGAAGAAGACCGAGGTCAGAAAGAAGTCGGTATACATTGCCTTACCGTTCAAAGGGGATACATCAGCAGAAGTAATACAAAGGAGACTATCAGATGCTGTTAGTAGTACCTTCTATGCAGCAAAGCTGAATGTTTTGTTCACGTCCCAGCCAATTGTGTGCTTACGACTAAAGGACAAAATGCCGGATTCTGCCGTCTCATTTTGTGTGTACTCACTTACGTGTTCCTGTGGAACCACGTACATAGGCAGCACGGTCAGGCGTTTGTCCAAACGAATCCGTGACCACCACCCCACATGGCTAAACACAGGAACGATTGAGTCACTCACTAGTGCAGTGGTTTCACACCTAGTTGAAACAAATCACAC